TTTGAAACTAACATTGATCAAACTCACATGTTTTATTGCTATGGCCAGATCTACTACAACTATAGCAGAAAAGTTGAAATTTTTCATATTTGATCGACACCCATGAACTCGATCTATCAGGTCTTGCCACCTACAAGCCATCTATAAGGGGACGATTAAGTGAGATGGCAACTTTGATTTGTAAAAAAAAACGATTAACACTGCCTTGGCTCCTAGTTTCTTTGTAAGCTGAAACCCTGCCTATTTTGTTACCGAGCGTGAGAATATTCTTGTGAACCATGCCAGCTATAAGGATTCCACGTATTTGGATCCAAAATAGACAACCATCAAATTAGGTTTCTTCTACAATCATAAAAGGTTGTGGTTCACGCAAGCAGAAGATAAAGCCTTAAATAATCTATGGTTGATCCCTAAGGATCCTTAAGAGTTCCTTCTTCCTTTTGAAGTTAAACAAGAAAAAGTTATCACCAGCATCTTTAATAGAGAACTTACCTCATACAGACCAAGCTTTGTCGATTAAGTTCTTGATAGTTGCTTTGTTTTGGGGTTTTTGAGCAATAAGCTTACCTATTAAGGTTTAGACTTATTCATTCATTTCCCAACAAAGGTTGACTACATTGTTCACTAATTTTTTGCTAGAAATTGAGTTCCCAGGACCTTTCAAGTTGCTGTTGTCTATATTAATCACAGAGAGAGCTAAAAGGAGATGCTCATCAAGGAAGAAGAGGAGAGAAATGATGGAAAAGTAGGAGAATAGAGTAGAAGGGAACATTGCTCTCAAAGAGATGAAAGGGGGCACTCTCACAAAAGGAGAAAATAGCTCTCATGATAGGAAAGAAAAGCTCTCACGGAGGAGAGAGCAATGTAGTAAAGTTAACTATCTTTATCTACAGTATTTTGTTAGTTAAACATAAGAGATTGTTAAATAATGAGGCTCAACTCAACATATCAACACATTCAAAATCAGATCTTATTGATGAATCCTCTCTCGACAGTCAATCAGGCCTACTCACTGGTTTTTCAAGAAGAAATACAGTTCCTCCTTATAGGTTGAGTACTAAAGGCTTTGTCCTGGTTGCTAGAGGGTGTGGTAGGTTTAATAAAGGACGAGGATGAGCAAGTTTATCTAAAGAGTATACATACTATCATAACCTAGGCCACAAAAAAGATAATTGCTATCATTTAGTAGGATTCCCATCAAGCTTTGGCAAAGGAAGAAGCACTCAAGATCAACAAATCAACCACACAAATACCCCTCCTACTAATTCAACTCTAATTCAGTTATAGGAATGTTAGCTCCTTTCTTAACAAGACTATGACATTATCCTGAAAATGTTGGGCAAGGATACCAAATCCATCCCTAGTGGTGCTGTAAATACAAATGACTCGAAAGAGTCATTAGGTTCAATTTACAACATTTTATCTAGTACAATTTCAACTGCACCTATTTCAAACATGCATAAAGCACACTGGTTGTTGGATTAAAGGGCCACAGCACTTGTTGTTAGTTCATTAAATTTTTTTGTGATAAATACACTGAGTATATTAAAACCTTTATAAAGATACATATCGTAAATGGAGAAATACTAGTTGTCACACACAAAGGATCCATCACATTGTATGATAATATAGTCCTGTAAAATATACTTTATGTGCCTAAAATTTATTATGATTTGGTTTTCATCTCACATCTCACCTTATAATACAATTGTATTGTTGCTTTCTTTCTTGATATGTGTATTATATAGGATCTTTATAAAGGAGCATTAGGACAACTAGTAAAATAGATTCTACACTTCACATTATTAAAGAGACTGACATTCCTATTTATAATTCTTCTATATCTATTAATAAACTTAGGCACCTTAGGTTAGGCCATGCTTCGTTTCATGTTCTTAGACATCTTAACGCTTTGAAATATGAATTATCTTCTACTAACACTGATAAATGTAATGTTTACTTACAAGCAAAATAGCCACAATTTTCCTTTCCTTATGGTAATAATAATGTTGTTCACTACTTCCATCTCATTCATATGGATATGTGGGGTCCATACAAGGAACCCACGCACCAAGAGTATAGATATTTCTTAACTATTGTAGATGATATGTCACGTGCCACTTGGGTGTGTATTTATTAACCAATAAGTTTGAATTATTTTATTTTATTAAGATTTTTTTTTGCCTTTATACCGACTCAATTTTCTGCCCATATCAAAAGAGTCAAAATAGATAATGGAATTGAATTTATTAATAGTGATGTGTCAACTTATTTTTTGAATAATGGAGTGATTCATGACACTTCTTGTCCTTATACACTTCAACAAAATAGGGTGGTTGAAAAGAAACATAGGCATATTCTAGAAGTAGTTGGGAGCCTTATGTTTCAAGCTAATATTCCAATTAAGTTCTAGGGGTAAAGTATTAAAGCTGCCATTTATCTAATCAATAAGACACCTTCTAGGGCCATCAACTACAAGACTCCATATGCTATGATGTATGAAAGACAACTTGACTTGGGTCATTTATGAATTTTTGGATGTTTAGCGTATATGAAAAAATTAAATAGAATGGACAAATTTCACCCTAGGTTTGAATCTTGCATCTTCTTAAGATATCCTAATAGTAAAAAAAGGTACCTCTTTCATTCTGATATTGCTTTAGATAATTTTTCTTTTGATTTTGTTACTAACCATAATGCACAGAATCAGCTTGATCCTACTTCACATAATTTTGGTTTACAAATTGATAGTTTCAATGATTATGTGATTCCTAATGATTTTGATTTACATTCTCACACTGAATCACCATTATCATGTCCTGTTACGCATAAAAAACCCCAGTTTGGCTTAAAGATTATGATTGCATTAAACTAGCTCATTTAAATAGTGTTGAATCTAAAACCAAAAAGAAAATTTTGTACCTTATTCAACATAGTGTTTGTTACACTAATATATCATCTTCTTGTAAGGATTTTAATGTGCTCTGATGAGATCATAAAACCAAATACTTCTGAAGGGGTAGTCATGAATAGTAGGTGGGCAGCGGCAATGAAAAATGAGATGGATGCCTTAGAGAGAAATAAAACTTGGGAGATAGTTGACCTTCCTACTGGTAAGAAAGTTATATGGTATTGATGGGTTTTTAAGAAGTATAATGCTAATGGCACCTTAAACAGATTAAAATCTAGGTTACTTACAAAAGGATATAGTCAAGTTGAAGGAGTGGATTACTTTGACTCCTGTAGTGAAGATGACCACTATTAGGATTGTTTTGTCTTTAACTATTAAAAATAAATGTTGTATGTGTCAAATAGATGTGGATAATGTATTTTTACAATGGGACTTAACTGAAAAAGTTTTTATGAAAATCCCTCAAGGTTTTGCTAAAAATAGAGACAAAAAGGTGTGTAAACTTATAAAGTCTTTATATGGACTAAAACAAGTATCAAGGCAGTAGAACTTAAAATTATCTAAATCTTTAGTTTTGTCAGAGGTCTTACATAGAGCAAACATGATGACTCCATATTTTCTAAACAAAAGGATAATGATTTAGTTTTAATATGGCCTATGTAGATGATTTACTTATTATTGGAAATTCTAATTCCTTTATTCAAGAAACAAAAGATTATTTTCATAGTAATTTCAAAATGAAAGATCTAGGTCCTTTGAAATATATCCTAGGACTAGAAATAGTTAAATCAAAAAAAGGAGTTATCTTAAACCAAAGGAAGCATGCTTTAAATATGATTGCTAGTATTGGGTTGAGTGCTGTTAGGCCAAGGAATGTTCCTATGGCTCAATGTTTAAAGTTGTATAATGAACCTAGAAAGGGGGAGAAAGATCCTCTTCTGTTTGATGCAACTAGATATAGATGATTGATTGGTGAAATGTTGTATTTGACTATGATCCATCCAAATTTGAGTTTCACTATGCAAATGTTGAGTCAATATATGAGTAGTCCTAGAAAATCGCATATAAAGGCAATTATGAATGCAGTTAAACATTTGAAGAAAGATCCTAGTCAAGGCACTTTCTTTCCTTTTGGTGGAGGGGTGATGCTTGAAGGATATTCAAGTTCTGACTAGGGAGCATGTGTAAACACTTAAAGGTCTGTCACAAGGTATGTCATTAAGATAGGAGGAGCACACATTGTATGTGAGTCAAAGAAGCAAACAACAATTTCATGTTCTTCAACAGAAGTTGAACACAAGGCATTAAGAAGTACTATTTTAGAGATTACGTAGCTAGTTGGTTTATTGAAAGACTTGAAGGTTGAGAATCCTCTTCCTATTCTAATACATTGTGATAGCAAAGTAGCAATTAAAATTGCTTTGAATTTGGTATTTCATGAATGGATAAAGCATATTGAAATTTATTGCCATTTTATTTGTGAGAAGCTTAATGAAGGCTTGATTAAATTACACCATGTGTCTTCTTCAAATCAACAAGCAAATATTTTTACTAAAGCCTTAGGTAAATTGGGTATGAGAGAATGTTAATCAAGTTAGGAACCATAAATATTTTTGATTCTAACTTGAGGGGGAGTGTAGAAAATAATTCTTTCAATTTTATTTATAAAACATATTCTAGGAGTAATTTTTTATTTAGAATATAGGACACTTTATAATAATTAAACTATTTTTTTTTAATTTCACTTCTTCTTGATTAAAATGAAGGTCTTTAATGTAACTGTATTATTAAAGTGCATCTCCTATTTTATGATACTAAGAAAAAATTAATTTTTTTAAGATATGTAAAATATTAAAAGTGTCCTATAATAAGAACCGAAAAAAGTATTGATTAATGTTGGTTCTTCACAATAATATTTCTAGATATTCATTTATTTATTAGATAATTAGGTCTAGGCAACAAATACCTTGTTTACTATAAAGTGTGCTTATTAACACCCCCCCCCCCAAAAGGGGGTTAATAAAGAGTGTTATTTGCTAAAACTTTTTTCTATAATTTGTAATTAACTTTGAGTTTTGAAAGCGGTTTATCCATCCGTTAGCAACATCCTGAAATGCAAAGCGCATGACTTCGATGGAAGCGGGAAGTCTACTCAGGTGTCCATTCCTTACTCGCAATCTCTCTCCACCCACCGCAAATTCTTCCTCACCGTTCCCTTCTCTTCCTCCTACTTTCTCGCTCCGCTTCCGGGTTTCATCTTCGACTTCTTCTTCGTCCAATTCTCCAATCGCCAATTCCAATCCTAATTACAGAGTTCCCAAGCCCAAACGAGACTGGGTCGCCGATTGGGTCTCCCAGAACGACGATACCGTTCGTACCTTGCCCATCTACGTTGGTGCCGCCTCCCTCTTGGTCGTTTTCTTTAATCGTGCCCTTTATGGCATCGCTCCTGTTGCTGATGCTAGCAGGTTCCCAATTTTATTTTTAAGTTGGGGCTTTGTAGTTTACGTTGTCATTTAACAGTTGCCGCAATCAATGTTGGTATGTTAAAATTTGTATTGTTTGAATTAGTTTACTAGGAGTGCCAGTGTGCCACCACGAGTGCTTCCTACGAGAATGAAGCGAAATTTAGCGTTGAATAATTCGGATTAACGGTAACAAAATTTTCATTAACAAACTGTAAAGCCTAGTTTCTACTTTCTACAAGCAAATCCATTTTTCTTCCTTTTGCTTTCTTTATCATACATTGAAAATACATATCAAATTATCTCCTTCTTCATTTTGTCACCTCACATTCATCTACCTGCAGTATATTGCAGCTCAGTATTTACACCACAATGTTAAAATATCATTAACCTAACCAAGCCACCATTTACATCCAAATTATATGCTTGGAATCTGAAATTCAGCATGGTAGCCAATTAATCTTCGAGGAGTAAGATTGAAGAACTGTACTTGGTTAAGCTAATTCCTAATGTTGTAAGTGTAATGTGACTTGCAATGATAGGCAATACCAGAAAAGCCTCTAATCTTTCACTGCGTGATATATGAGTTATGGGGTATTCTATTATCGAATGTTCAAAGGCTTTACTACCTTGGTGGAAGTATTCTAACAGATCATGTATATTTAGACAGCTTTGAGTTACTTGTTCTAATTGGCACTTAAGCAATCAATACTCTGCAGTTCGCAATCTAGAGCGGATCTCTTGACTGTAGCATTGGCTGTCACCAATATCTTAACTGGTCTGGTGTGGCTGTCTATAAGACCCAAATCTATAACTACGGTGTGCTCTTTGCATCTAGATTTTAAGTGCTTCATCCCCCTCTTGTTGACTTAATTAATATGCATCTTAATTTTGCATTCAAAACTTTACTTCCTGTTATGCTTATCTAGGTAAATCCGCAAGGAGTTGAATGTAAGAGGGTGTGTACTCGTCTCCCTGATTATGCAGTTAGTGAGTTGCTCTGGTAATGTACATTATTGACACTTGTCAACTTCATTTGCATTGATACTTCTTCCTGTCGACCCAAGTGCATTCTGCTTCTGTGGAGGAGTTCAATCCAACATTGTGGATTAGACAATATGGCCTTCATATCCCTTTTTATTGAACTGCCAATTTGAAAATGGAAAATGAATGAATAAAAAAACAGTATTTTGTATATTGATGTGTGATGATGTTACATGTGATGTCATGAGAAATTATAGTAAGGTCTTCTACATGTGATGTTAATGACTTTAAAAATAACACAAAATGTAATCTTGATTTATGCGCCAGAGGAAAAATTCATGTGCAAGTAAGGATTGTATTGCTTAAGTGCTTCCTCTACTGATGGTTTATATTCTCAGGGTGTGGGAATCTCTGTCAGGTGTCACACGCTGCAGGTCACTTGTTATTGTTTATGAGAACATTTGTGTGCTTCAAATTGGTTGCGCAGCAGAAGCTTCTTCAAGGAATGGGGAGGCCGTTAATGTGGATGCCAATAAATTGATGCAAGGAACTCTATATCAGGGTGTTATAAAATCTGGAGCTCGTATGTTTGTGACAATGAACCATCATTAACTGTATATTACATATCATAGTTGACTGTTAAATAAGTTAATTATTATTCAGGGAGATGCGTGTTAAAGTGAATCATAACCAAGTCTTATCTAAATGTGCAGAGAGTTACTTGGCCAACCTATCTCTTTATCCTGGGAAATCTGAGCTGCCATTTTTGCCTTCAAACACTCAGGTATCGTGTTATATATTAAAGTGTGCCATTTCACTGCCTTTCCTCTCAACCTGACAGATTTCCATGCAAGTCTTTTTAAATTGTGTTCTATCTCAGTCAATGATTCAACATATTTCTCAAGCATTGACATTTTAAAAGAGTAAAAGATTCAGGAATCAGTTTATATAATCACTTGTTTCTCAACAGGTTGACAATATTTATGGGGGTTGACCCTTTTAATTGAATTAAGCTAAAATGGCAATTTGGAGCAAACATACATCTTGTAACTTCAATGACTTCAGCTCTACTTTGGCATCAGAAAATTCTTTGGTTGTCAAAATTCCTTTTTTTAAAGAATAATTATCAATGTCACATTTGTCATTGGTATGTATTGCCTTTAAAAGGAGGATGCAAAGAAAGGAAAAAGGTCGAATAAGCAGTTTACATAGGCAAATGTGTTTGTCGTCGGCCTTGGTTTAAAGACATTTTGAAGGAACTAGCTTGACCCTAGATTTCCTTGTGTTTTGAAGTGACCACGAGGTATTTGCTGGGGCTCCCTAACAGTAAAAGATTGGTGTATAAATAATGGCACTAGACCAACTAGTCACGCCACAAAATTGGTAAACCGGTTACTAAACTTTTCCGGCCAAGGGTGAACCACGTCAAAATACAATCAGTGGAACCAATTATGAACTAGTCAAAACCCATAAACCCAGTAGTTTGGTGGTTCAAACCAGTTGTGTGTGTGTGTGGTTTTTTTAATCTTTACATTTTTTAATTTAAATAATATTTTTAAGTTATCAGTTATATATAGTTATACCTTATGAGCATTGGAAAAATAATACCAGTGGCAAATGTGCAAGAAATATGTATATATTATAAAATAAATTTAAAAATAAGTATATACATTATAAATATTTTACATCTCATAATTATTTATATGAACTTTTTTTCCATTTTTACCAACAGAGTTATCATGTTTCTAGGCAGTAATTTTGCAACCACTTGGAGATAAAGGAATTGCAATTATTGGTGGTGACACAATACGAGGTTTCACTACTTCTGACCAGGTATGGTTGCTTAGCATTTTTGTCCTCATTCCGAGAATATATAAATTTGTCAAAATTGCTGCAATCTTTGTATGCAACTGCGGCATGTTATTCTGTAGAATTTAACATCTTAATAGTTGAAATCCAAAATATTTGGGATTATAGAATTTTGGTACTTGAAGATGTCAAGTTTCAAATTATCCGTCTTCACGACATACTAATGCTATCAGCATAATTGTAGGCTTGGCACCGAATATGCCTATAACATATTCCAGTGATCAAACTGAGTTACTTGCATGATTAGTGACATAAAATGATTACAGGCTTGGATTACTCTTATTGGAGAAAAGCTGGATTCTACCCTTGCAAAACATGTAAGGCAGCTCCAACTTACTTCACAAGATTGAATAATTGAGAGATACTGAATATATATATATATATATATATATATTTTTTTGGGTGGGTGGGAGCATGCAATGCATATTTCGATATTTTGTTTATGTAGTTGATTGATTTTAGCATCCGCATACATACGACAACAACACACGCAGAGACATACAGCAGGTGGTTTTACCATGATTTGTAATCATTCATAGTATTTATATGTAGTAATGTCCAAGGATTATGGTTTCCTAGAGACGTTTGTAACTAGTATCTACTGCATACGGGGATTTAGAAATTTATCATGCTCTATCAGTTGTCCCCTTGCAATATGCGATAATATGAAGAAAGTAGAAATTGAGTATTGTAGTTCGTTAAAATAGTATATTTACATTTAATATACCTTCAACTAGAGTACCACTTCCGATGATGAACATCAGCATTCCAGGTTCCAAAATTAGTACAATAGAGGGAAAAATTTAGGATTAAGGGTCATTTTTGTCTCTAAAGTGTGTGTGAAAGTTTACAAATGACCCTAAACTCAATTCAGGGTCAATTTTATCTCTCAACTTTAAAAATTGATCTTTCGTGCCCCTGACATTATTTTCTATTAAGTAGGTCTCACATTTGAAATTTTAATATTTTTGATTGTAAAATATTTAAGTGGGCCTCGCCATTATTTTTTAAGAGTTTTTTTTTTGGTCCCAATCTCTTCCCTCTCAGTGACTCTCAGTGATCTTCATGCCTTCTGCAGCAGCCATGGTGGTTCTCTGATTCTCTCCCACTCCTCACTAAACCAGTACTTGCTCATTAACTCATGCGTGCCCACAAACTCATGCCTGTAAACTCATGCAATAGCCAATGAACACAAGTTGTTCGTTTTCAGCTTCCCGTATTTGAAAAGCTTGACCATGAACTTTGGTGAAGAGTCCTACCCATGAGCAGTTACAGCAAGTGAACTTGACGAGGACTCTACTGTTGACCACATCATTGGTGTGGGCCTTGCACATGTTGTTGGTGGGCTTGTCGAAGCGTGCCACGTAGATGTCGCCATCCACAAAAACCACAAGTTTTTTCCTCCAGCCAAGAAACCCCATCTTCGCTATTGTTGTAGCAGGAGCTACTGTTGCTACCTTTTCGAATTCTTCTGGAAGCTCCTCATCACCTTCATTATCATCTCAACCTTTCTATCCTCATCTTTTGGTCTGTCGTCCAACAATATGCCTTCAAGTTTTACGTCTCTAACACCAAGCTTACCTAATTAAACTACTCTAACTACACAAAGGTCATCCAAGTTTTACATCTTCAAGTTTTAAGTAATATCAGGCGAGCTCGTCAGAAAGGGGTGGCATGGTCAGGGAGGTGTCATTGGATTCCTCTGCTTAGCTTCCTCTCACTCCCAGCAATGGCACACTTATATCGAAGCTCCTTGTGGAAAAGAGCGCTCGCCCTTGATAGGAGAAGGGAGAGCATGAAATCGGGGCTCTTTTGCTTCAATTTTGTTGGAGCCAGTAGGAGGTTCTAAGGCCTTCATGTTGCTTAGCTTGGTCTGGTTTGACGGCATTGATTCTTAAATCAAAGATAGAGAGGAAGATGAAGAAGAGAGAGGAAGAGAGGAGAGAGGGAGGAGTATGAAGAGAGGATGGGGGGGGGGAGAGATTTTCTCAAATATGTTCTACCAAAAACATCATCAATTTTTGATTAATAAAACAAAAATAGTTTCAAACAGGTTCCAAATTTTTAAAGTTAAGAATAAAATTGATTTTAAGTTGAATTTAAGATCATTTATGTACTTTTGCATACACTTTAGGAATAAAAATACCCTAATCTAAAATTTACCCTCCTGATAGAGTTCCGAAATAATAGGTGATCTGAGAAGATAGATATTATACATAAATAGTCTTTTTAATTTATTTTAGATCTTTTATATTTAATAATATTGTTTTAAATTTTATTTAGGTATTTAGTTATCTAGATTTTATATAGATATTTAGATATTAATTTAGATATCTATATTTTTATCTAGATATCTAGTTTAGATTTTATTCAGGTATTTAGTTCTTTAGATTTTATAGTATTTTATATAGATATAGATTTTAGAAGACTTTATTCAATTTATTTAATTATCTAGTTATCTAGATTTTATTTATTATTTTAAAATTGTATTTAGTATTATAAATATCCTTAGCAACTTAGAAGCAGGCATATCATAAATAAACATATTTTTGAGACTCTTGGTTTTTTGAAGATTCTCCTAAACATGACTACTAAGAAAAGTATAAAACAATTTTTTGTTTTATATCATTTTGATAGATTTATTTCTTCTATAAGTTCTATGTTTTCTTATTAATATTATGAAGTTAGATTTTAATTTTATATGTTTATAGAAATTTATTTTCCTTATTTCCTATAATCATCTTGAAACCTATCACCTTCCCATAAATGTTTAGCACCTGTTGCTCTCTGTTATTGTTATTGTTTTTTTTTTTTTAACCCTAATCATGCTCCTATTATTCTTTAAAAGATGGTAATCTTGATATAAGTTGTTGTAAGAGTGTATCTGCTAATACCTTATGTTTTCATTGTTTTCTGGACGTGTCTTTTGTTGCCTTTAGGTTTGTCAAATGATAGAAACCTCAAGACGTGCAGAAAGACCTTTGACTTGTGCCAATCTTTGTTTTTGCTTCAGAGCTTTGTAATAAACATTTTAGTTTAGCCATTGATAATAATCTTGTTTTAGCCCGCATCAAAATTTCAGAGTTAACGGATAACAAGAAACAAACAAGGATTACTCAGCTGGAGAGGACTGAAAAAATGAAAAGGAAAAAAGAAGGAATCCATTCATATTGCTGCTAATATACAACTATGTGAGAACTGTGAAGTATGTTTCATGTTTATAGAAGTCATTAATCAAGTGAAAGAAAGGAAAGAAATTTTATGGATGACAAGAAACAAACAAGGATTACTCAGCTGGGGAGGAGTGAAAAAATGAAAAGGAAAAAAGAAGGAATCCATTCATATTGCTGCTAATATACAACTGTGTGAGAACTGTGAAGTATGTTTCATGTTTATAGAAGTCATTAATCAAGTGAAAGAAAGGAAAGAAACAAAATTTCTGTTGCCTAAAATCCGCCCAAAAACAATGAAAAGAATGAATGCCTACTGCTATGACTATTGTGCTTTACAAGGGTACCCGACGACCCTGATAGATTAGTGTCCCCTTACTTTATATGAATGACCTTTCCCAAGGTAGAACCCCTGTTGCAGGATCGGCAAAATAAGACAGAAGGAAATCCTTCAAGCCAGTATCCCAAACCTCACAAAATTGCCGCCGCCAGTTCGGTGGTTCAATGGCCTCTGTTCCTAGCCCTGGTGCTCTATCCTTTGATCCCTTGTTTGGTCTTCTTGCCAGTCAACCACATAGGTAGCAACCCTTCTGAAGAACTTGGCTTTGAAGGTCTCCCCCACCTGATATTTGTAGTGGTTTATTATAGCAGTACCTTCAGGCATGTTCTGATACGTGTATCCATCCTCAGCTGAAAATGGTGCACCACATTCAGAAGACTAGTGTCGAGCAAATCTGGCCTCACTATTGATTTGTGTCTCTCAGGGCTCTGAAGCCTGCATGTGTATCCTATAGTCACTCCTCGTTTAGGCGGTGAGCGCAACCCAGAAGGACCAAAGCTATGACAAGCTGTTCTTATCTCTGCAATATTTGATGATGAGAAATTTGCCACCACTGATTTCAGAGAGTTCCCTCCAGGAATATCATGACCGAACTGGTGATGAAATTCATTGGGGAAGTAGAAGAACTCATCGACATCAAAGAATCCAACCCACTTGCACTCATCTCTTGCTCTCAAAGCACAGTGAGAAAAGCCTGCTTCCTGAGTCTTAATCCATGGCCAGGTTTGTCTGCTAACATTATACCCTTGACGGTCGAGTTCCTGGCTAACCTTCTCTATATCATCATCACTGTTGTTGTCATAGATGAACCATCGTTCAACTCCAAGCCAGGAAGGTACATAATCCATTCTCTGAGCGCAGATGCTTGGTTCCACACCATAGTGCAAGCACACAGCTCATGCTTCTTTGTCTTTCTTTTTCTCTTCTGAGCTCGAGGACTTGAACTGCGGACTCTTGCCACCGATGACATGAGCTCGCGAACCGGGTGCCTTATATGGCCGCTCAAGTGGCTGACGGTAACCCGAATTCCCTGAGCCTTTTCTGGGCTGTGTTTCTGATACTCCGTGGCAGCAAACACCTAACCACTTCCTGAGCAACTGAAACTGCTTTGGTGGTGAGCAAGAAGTTATTTTCTTTGCCCAAATTCTTCAACCCAAAGTGGCAGAGGAATCGGTTTGGCTCCGATATCTTGTGAGGTCGAAGATTTAATCCTTTTACAAATACAACGGTGGTATTACCATCCAAAATCGCTTCATACACCACCTTGTCCCACGACTGGGCAGTCCGGTTAACCAGCGAATCCCAATCCTACGACCAATCTCCCCGCGCCGGCGCAAATCGACGGCGGCAGCTGAGTAGTTCGTCTGGGGAATTGGACACCTCACGATGGATCTGAATTCATCGTAGTTGTCCGTGGAAAGCACCGGCTGAGTAAGAAACGTCGGCGAGCTGGTTATTAACTTCGCCGGTCGAACCGTTGAAGAAGAGCTTGTAGTATATACACTCCAATTCTGGACTCTGCCGGAGAAATTTGTTGCTCACCATCAAAACCACATGGTCAGGGAAAACAATCCGATCTTCAACTCTCAAGGGAGCAATCTGGGGTCAGGAAAATCGAGAACCGAACGACTTGCAGAAGAGGACAAAAGCGATAAGTGAGAGGTAATAATGGCGGGGCGAAACGGTGAGGAAGAAATAGAGATAGAGAAGCGATCGGAGGATAAGAAGAGGAAGACGAAGAAGGAGAAGCAGAGAAGAAGTGACCTCAAGGAGAAGAAGCGGGTCAGCGAGAAAGCACCAGTACTGACACGCTTCTTCTTCCGGCGCTGCCCAGAATCCATTGTTTCTCAGTCTGTCTGAATCACTGAAAGAGTTAAAAATCCAACCTTTAAGTAGAAGAAGAACCAGAAGAAGGATTCTGGAAGACGCGAAATACAAAGATCTGGGAGATGACATGAGGTTGAAGAAGAAGAAGGCGACAAGTTCTGGAGAAACAAGGAATGGGTAGGAGAGAGCTGTACGCGTGAGATAATTGAGACCCTCAAAGGCGAAAAGTTGAAGAAAGTGCGGTTGAGTGGTATTAGAGTGAGAGAGAGAGAGAGAGAGAGAGAGGCTTGGAGTGGTGACTGGGAAAGGGGGACAGGGTTGTGTTGCTGGCATCGTATTCGCTGTTGACAGCGCGTGACGCGGTGACAAATGTGTTTCTTTTCTGGGATTATTTATTGCATAAAATAGTTGGGATGGAATATGGATGGTAAAAAAATTAAAAAGGCATTAAATTAAAGAAGCAAGAGTCTTGTTGGAGAGAGAGAAGAGAGAGAGAGAGAGAGAGAGAGAGGAATCGTAAAAAGGAAAGTTTGGATTTGGTGGCTTGGGTTTGGGGATCGGCCTTAAATGGAATTTTGCCAATTTGCCATCAAACTTCACTTTGCTTGTACCAGAGGAATTCTCTCTGCCAGTGGGCCCCACTCCCATGTAAAACTCCGCGAATGTTCTCTCCTCATCCCTTTTTAGTTTTTCCATGACATTTCCAACCTTGTTACTGAGATAAAAAAGAAATTTAAAATTTATTAATTCTATTTTAAAATAAAATAAATTTTGACTTTTCACTTCTTTAATCATAATATATATATATGTAGAAAATTTTTTACATAAATTTGGTGCACCCTATCATTCATGCTTCATTTAATAAAATTGTATATTCAATAAAATAAAATTTTGTATATCATCATTTTAATTATTTTTTAAAAGAGGATTTCTTTTTAATTTTTTTAATTTTTATTTTATTAACATCACAATTAGTTTATTTATAATTATTTAAATGATATGTTTTTATTGGATGGAATATGATTGATGTGGTGTATGGTGGGTTAGAGAATTTTTTCCACATGGTGTCACGTTAAAAAAAAAAACATTGAGTAAAAGTATCATGAGAAAAATGTAATAAATATCCTATATTGTGTCTTTCAAAAATCGCTTTTTTGATAGAAATAAAAAAAAGACGGGTATGACGTTATTTTGTTTTTATTTTACTTTTTTAGATTTTGGATGATTGCTTCTGTAGGCAAGTTAAAATGAAATTGAAGTTGGGGACGATCTTTGACTTTAAGGTCTCGCTGGCTATTTCTGATTGGTAGTAACATATTAAGAATCTTTTAGAATGTGTGTGTGTGTTTTTTTTTTTATTAATGTGAGCATCAAAATAAATAAATATAATAAAATATAATTGAGAAGCGACCTTACCGAGTGAAGGAGATAACTGGTAGCCGCCTTGACAAAGTCCGTCAAACTTGGTGGTTCATGTTGCCCAAAACAGATTAAATAAAAATAAATAAAATAAAATAAAATGGGCGGTTCAAACTTTGGAGTATAAGTTAGACTTTATTGCATAAGCATTCAGCCGTTCACCCTATTAAACTTTGGAAAGATGACAATTTCATCCCAAAATATTAAATAAATGACAGTTAAGTTTTAAATAATTTTTTAAAAAAATTAAAGATATTGATTTAAATAATTATAAATTTTAAAATTTTATTATAAATAAATATTTAAATATCAAATGTAACAAGAATTTTTATTTGTAATGTTGGATTGATATTTATAATTTTTATTTTAAAAAATTTTGTCAAGAATTTAATTATTATTAATTCAATTTTTTTTGGACCTAACTGTCATTTTCTATTGGATTTTTGACGTTTTTCATGGAATTTTTTTTTTTTTTTTTTGGGAATGAACGTCTGGTGCCAAAGTTAAACATTTTATCAAGATTACGTACACCAGTGTCATGTTTTGATTTTGAAAGATCAATTATGAGTTTTTAAAAAACATAATATTACTTTCAAGTTTTAGTTTAAAATGTTTTGCCTTAAGGCAAATAAGATTTAAAAATAAACCTCGCTAGATTTAACATCAGTTAATCTTTTTTTATAAAAAAAAAGTAATATATAGAAAAAAATAACAAGTGAAGACCCTGTTAAGCCAATGATTTTAATTATAGACCTTCTATCATTGAAATTTCATTGAACAATTACTATTGGGTAGGACTTTAGGCTAACTTGAGATTTGGTCTCTTTTGTAGGAGAGATTGAATTAAATAACTCGTAATCTTGTTTGATCTTGAAAAAACTTGAGATCAAGCTGAACCAAACTTATTCCATATGATTGAATGACTAGTTCAGATAGTCCAGTCAAGTTATAATATATAATGATAAATTCATAATAGTTTTCAATAAACCTTAACAAGTCTAAATTATATTACAACAAGTTGTACAAAAGATGAAAAAAAAAACACACACACACAATGGAGCTTAGATTTAGCTTAACAGTTCCTCTAATTTTCATTAGATAAAAGAGTTATACTTTGTAATAATCACAATATGCAAGGTTTATTGACCGAAACTATTATATCATTTTAGTAATCGAAATTCTCCTGCTTCCACTATAATTCGCTTTGCAATGCAGTATATTTTATTAAGGGAAAAACAATAACAATAACCAAAAGCAATATGGGGCTTCACCCTTACTCTCTTATGATTAAGTAAGAATTTATCATTTACATATGCGAGACTGATAAAACATACAAAACTATAAACACTAATATGCAAGACAATGTTTCAACGAGATGGATGAGTGAACTTCAATTATATTAAAAAATTTCATAGGATCAAGATAGACCAAATGGTTTGATAGCTCAACCCCATGTCTAGTTCAACTTGAACGAAAAGCTTGATCTAGTTTGGTCTTTTTTTTTTTTTTCATTGGACTAGCTTTTTTTAAAATTGAAAAATATCAATTTCTATCAGGTTAGACTAGGTCGGGCTAGAGTATTAAGTTTTTGTACAACCCTATTGGAGGGAGACAACCTAATTCTCAAATGGGATATCTATTTTTTTTTCACTTAGATTATTTGAAATTCACAATTGATTATATTCAATTTTATTAGTCTCATTCACAACTTGTGAAATTAAATTAAACTTTTCTTTTTAAAATAACTAAATTATTGAAATAGCATAGAATCAGTCAGGGTTAGATAGCCCACTCGAAAATGAAAGTAGAATGATAATCGGTAGACATCCCCATTTCCAAGTGGAATTCACAAATCACAATTGATTAGATGTTGATTTCAGTAGTTACATTCACAACTTACAGAATTAATTTGAACTCTTTTTCCCTCCCAAAAACCGAACTAATAAAATCACATAAAATCAGTTGTGAATTTAATGAAATTAAAAAACTTTGTCAAAATCAACTAACCCACTTAAAAATGAGGTTATCTCCTAGTGATCCTTGAATGAAATGAGAATTAATGGCTTAACAGAGTCATTAATTTTCATTTCCCCCAATATCTATTATTGTTTTAAGAGTGATATCTATTATTGTCAAAGATAAAAATATCAAAATCTTTATAAGATATTTCTTATGGGCAAGTAGATTGGTGCATTTATTAGCTTTCCTATATATATTGTCAAAAACATCTACTCAATCTCTCATAATGAGATCTCTAATATTCTTGATAATTATGGAGGGGATGACTATCGTAGCAGCTATTATCAATAAGCAATAAAGCTTGCATGGAATCTGAAAAGACGTTAATCTTGGATAGTTTCTTGTTCTAACAAAAATTGAGGCCTTTTAAAATTTTCAATAACAGTAATATTTTCTAAAGATTAGCTTGACCTTCGTAAGTAACATACATACATACATATATGGGTTTAAGGAAACTAAGGTTTGAGAGAAAAAATTGGCTTTAGTAAAACAGTTAAGCAAAATTGGGTCCACAAAACTGGGTATGGGGCTCTAAAATCCAAACATGCCAATCCTCCTCTGGTTTTGAGAGGAATGGAGAAGGAAGGATTAATAAGTTTAATAAGTTCAATATAAAATGATAAATAATAGAATTATAAAATTTTAATTGAGAGATGTAAGAGAAAGGAAAAGGTAAGACAAATCAATTAAAAAATTTTTTAACCCTATTTCTCTATTTTTTTAAAAAAATTGAACTTAAATTTTTTCTTCCTTCCTTCCCTCTCCATCCGCTTGAACAAAACAAAGGCTAAATGGTGTTTCAATAATTAATTATTTCTCAATGAATTTTTTTGAAATTATTTCTCAATGAATATTAATTGCTTATGATATGTAGAATGTCGACATCAATACACTAAAAAAAAAAATTAAGGAAGTTATCACAATGTATCACAAATACATTCTCAACTATCTTACCCCATCCCTAAAAAAAATGTCTTTTCTTTCTCTCGGTAATTTTTAAAAGGAAAAATTTATATACTTAATTATATATATATATCCAAAAAGAAGTCACTTAAGTACGGAGTTAGTAATTTGGATCAAGCCTAAGGATCATCCCAATAAATCTAAAAATTTTAGGACTGGGCTTAAAAGTTAAAAAAAATTATTTTCAAATTTATTTGAGCCGTCTAAAAAAAAATGAAAGAAAATTGAGTCAAGTTTGAACCTAAATAAGTTGAGCCCAAATACCAAAATTCTTTCTTATTGTTGATAAAATGAAATTAATATTTATTTCAGCTTTCACTTAATACTTGCAAACTCTCTCCTAAACTTCCAGTTTTTACATTTCACGCTCTTAAACGAAGTTTTATGTTTGAATAACTATTTGTTCTAAATATATTTTAAAAATATTAAGAAAAAAAATATAAGAGGTTAGTTCATATCTTTTCATTTTTATTCTTTCAATACTTAATCTCATTTTAATAAGGATCGAAAAAGGGTATGTTGTTGTGTTGCGTTTCCATTTTTATTTTTAAAAAATATTTACAATACAGTTATTAAAAATTATTTTAAAATTGTTTTTTAAAACAAAACAAAAACGATTTGTTTGATG